CTTGGAGAGAGTTTTTCGAGTTGTCATGAACGCATCACGCAGCTTGAATTGTGAATGAATGGAGAATGATTTACAGGCAAAGCGTGCTGAACATGAATTTAACCACGACAATATTTATCTGTTCTTCACATTTAACTATAGAATGGCTACAAAACATTTGGGATATAGTAAGCCTACATGACAACTTCTAGTGCCTTATACTGTAATAGGCTACCTTTATGGCTTTTGTTGGCTTATAAATTACACAGAATATAGCGTAAGCACAAGATCAGATTTGGATCGGTAGCCGCTGGCCGATACCCGATCCAGCAAAAATATGCCGTGTCGATGCCAAGTATTGGGATCGGTGCATCTCTAGATTTGCTTCTGCTTTTGGTGTAATGGTCCTTCTCTGATGATGTCAGTTCGACAGCTTCTGCCACAATATTCTTAACCACACCCCACTCAAAAAGTAAGCCCCACCCCTACTCAGCATTCAGTTTCAATTGTAAGTACATCAACATACTGAAATATATATATATTTTCCATTCCAGCTCTAAATTGATGACCTTTAAATCCTACACGTATCACTGCTTTACAATCCCAGTAGGCTTGTCCTGCATCTCATTACCATCAGCTTCAAAGAAAAGGGTTGTTTCTATATCAGGATTTGCTTATGCAGTCTAGGCTTAGTTACCCTGAAGGTCACAGCAGATGTGAATCCTATTGGGCGGCACGGCAGAAATCAGTGTAAGCAAAGCGTCTTGATGTTCAGTGCTGGGAATGCAGCTTGAAACACTGCGATGAAACTTCAGTGCGTCTGAAATGAGATGTGACAGAAATGGCATGTGGTGCATTACACCAGACTCAACACCCAACAGATTGTGTACCACAGAAAAATGTGACTTCATTAAGCTCCAACACTGACATGAGCTACATACTAGATGGAAAACTGAGAGGGAGAGAAGCTGAGTTTTGATTTGTGATATTAAAATGAAAATCTGAACTGGGTGATGTAGTGGAAAAACATGCTTTCTTGATTTATTTTTTTGGTTTGACATTTGAAATGGATTCTTCAATTAGAACAGACAGTAAGATATAACAAATATAAATATATTTACCATTTGAAAGCAGCGGCAAACTGATTAAATGAAAAAAAGAATCAACCACAAAAAACAAACAAAAAAACAAACAAACAGGGCAGGGGTGTCCAAACTCAGTCCTGGAGAGTTTAGCTCCAACCCTAATCAAACACACCTGAACAGTTAATCAAGCACTTAGGCCCCGTTTACACTAGTGCGTTTTAGTTTTAAAACGGCGTTGTAGAATGAAAACGATCCGCGTCCACACTCGCGTTTTACCCAGCGTTTCTGAACAGCTCTCCGTCCACACCAAAACGCTAAAAACGCACATCACGTGACCACACACACACTCTCGGGCAAGCGCTCCAGCATTTCTACCCAGATGAGAGCTCTGCTTGTCGGACTGCTCATCACGCATCTCCCGCTGGATCTAATCTCACTATATTTGCTAAACGTGATATTTCATTCATGTTGTTGTCTTTATCTAACGACATAGGCCAATTCCCTGACTTTGGTCATTGGAATCTATTAAGTTACTTGTTCACGGGTAACATGTTTTGGTTAAGCGCAAAGATAAGTTATGATTAATCCAGGTATATTGACTGATCGCTTGCCTTTATTTCCTACAATGTATAAACTTATTGCATGTTATACTTTTATAATTGTCGATTATTAAAACTGATATTCAGCAAAAGAGAGGGTGCGTTTCGTATTTTCACTGAAATTGAAAGGAGGCAGTAGTTATAGGCTCCGTTTAGTTATAAATATCCACACAGTGAAGATGACGCTCATGCAGCACGACGCCTCAACATTTCTGCTGTCTGTTTAGTTGCTAATATTAAAAAGAAAATAGGCAGTTCCTTAAATCATGTTTACATTTTATTGTTGAGAAAGTGAAACAACGTAGCCAGGGTGATGTGAATGAAGTTATAAAGTACACTGTTCCCTTTGAAGATTTACCCGTGTCCTCGGTATGTTTTCCATATCAAACTGAGAAGGGGGAGACTGCAGCCTTGATCAAACTTGCGAAGTCTTAACTTACAAGAAGAGGATGCGAGACTGAACTGTGTGTGGGCTACTTAATATTGAGGAAAAGCCCCAATCAGATAGGCGAACGTTTGCAGTCCCGCCTCCGTTTTCAGATGTCTCCGTCTTTCCCCATCCACACTGAGATGGAGCAGCAGCGTTTCAGAATGAAAACGGCCTCTCCAGCGTTTTCGAAACGCTCCGTTTTCGGCGCTCGAGAACTCCGGCGTAGTGTGGATGGATGGCGTAACCGTAGCAAAACTTACGCGTTTTCAAACTAAAACGCACTAGTGTAAACGGGGCCTTACTAGATATACTAGAAACTTCCTGGCAGGTGTGTTGAAGCAAGTTGGAGCAAAACTCAGCAGGACACTGGCCCACCAGGACTGAGTTTGGACACCCCTGGTTTAGAGAATCTAAAATTTTTAAATGTTACTAATCAAAAGAAAAAAAAATGATCAAAAGGTCTTAACACTGGCAAGAAAAAATGTCTTTACTGACGAATCATCAGATTAGAGTGATTTCCGAAAGATCATTTGCAGGGTGTCTGAAGGTCTCTGATTTAACGCCTTTTAATGACCGTTTAACTATTCGTAATGCCATAGACAACCTTGACTATTTATGGGCACCACTCATGTACCCTTTTTGTTTTTTTACATTTTTGACACAATTAAACTATTACTCTGAACTGCATTAGAAATGGCGTAGGAGACTTACATTTTCAAATAAACATAAAATGTACATTTATTTGAAGATATTTACAATTTTTAAATACTAAAAACGTCAGTTTTTAGAAAATTTTTATTTAGAAAAATATTATTTGTTGCACTTTTTTATTGTGTATAGTTTATATAGAGTGTGTGGTCACAGTGATCAAAAGCAAATGTAAAACAATTGTGGATGTGCATTTAGTGATTTCATTTCAATAATAAAAAAAAAAATACTGTTTCAAATTTATCAAAAATAAAAACCTGAAAAATCCCATGTACAGAAGTATTCACAGCCTTTGCCGTGAAGCTCTAAATTGAGCTCAGGTACATTCTGTTTCCACTGATCATTCTTGAGATTTTTCAGCAGCTTCATTTGAGTTCACCTGTGGTAAATTCAGCTGATTGGACATGATTTGAAAAGGTGAATATATATAGACATATATAATACATACACCTGTCTGTATAAGGTCCCAGGGTTGACAGTACATGTCAAAGCACAAACCAAGCATAAAGACAAAGGAATTGTCTGTAGACCTCCGAGACAGGATTGTCTCGAGGCACAAGGCTAGAGAAGGTTACAGAAAATTTTCTGCTGCTCTGAAAGTTCCATTGAGCACAGTGGCCTCCATCATCCCTAAGTGGAAGAGTTTTGGAATCACCAAGACTCTTCCTAGAGCTGCACGCCCATCTATGCTGAGTGATCGGGGGAGAAGGGCTTCAGTCAGGGAGGTGATCAATAACCCGATGATCACTCTGTCTGAACTTCAGCGTTCTTCTGTGGAGAGAGGAGAACCTTACAGAAGGACAACCATCTGTGCAGCAATCCACCAAACAGGCCTGTATGTCAGAGTGGCCAGACGGAAGCCGCTTCCCACCTGGAATTTGCCAAAAGGCATCTAAAGGACTCCCAGACCATTAAAAAACTAAATTCTCTGGTATGATGAGACTAAAATTTGACTGTTTGGAGTGAATGCCTGGCGTTACATTTCGAAAAAACTAGGCACCGCTCATCACCAGGCTAATACCATCCCTACAGTGAAGCATAGTGGTGGCAGCATTATGCTGTGAAGATGTTGTTCTGCAGCAGGAACTGGAAGACTAGTCAGGATAGAGGGAAAGATAAATGCTGCAATGTACAGAGCCATCCTGAATGAAAACCTGCTTCAGAGTGCTCTTGACTTCAGACTGGGGCAACGGTTCATCTTCCAGCAGGTCAGTGACCCAAAGCACACAGCCAAAATATCAATGGAGTGGGGAAACCTGTTATTAGGGTATAATCAAATCTCTGACTAAATTAAGCAAGATCTGCTTCATGACGGCTTATCTAAAGAGGCTGCGTCAACCCAATTTTTAACTTCCCAGAAACAAATGACCAAATTGGTTCAGTGTTATCACAGTTAAGTTTAAGGTTTGTGGGTATAAGTAATAAATTGAAGCTAAATTCAAAATAAATTGGTAACACAGTGTTATTCTTAAAACTGATCATTTTTAATGCAATGTTTATTATTGCCTCAATCTTGAAAACAAAATGTAATGACTTTTAAGGCTTTTAAATGCCTCCAGGACACCCTGACAAGGGACTGGACTGGAGTAATGATGCTGACAATTCAGCTTGGCATCACAGGAAAAAACAACATTTTAAATTAAAATAGTTTGTAAAGTATTTTAAAGTATACAGTACGAGCATTTTATTACAGTCATACTGTATTTCTGATTAAATAAATGAATCCTTAGATGAAAAATAAAACATCAGAAAATATCCATCACTAAATAAATCGATTTTAATACCTTTTCAAACTTAAATCGATGTTCATTGTGATGCAGACGAGGATGATTCGGTATCGGATTATGGATCTTCTCCCTTATCCATAATTATAACCCAATATCCATTTTCTGGATATTAGATTATGATGTACTGATGGTTTTCGGATTATACTATGGCAAGGTACTTGAGCAGGTAAAAGGAATGTTCTGTGAATTGTTCTGACTGCTTCTTGTATACATGAAGTAAAAAATAAATTTAAGAATGCAGTGCATCATCAGTGCACTATGATATCAAATTAAACCAAATCGATGACATGATAATCGTAATCAAACTGAAGTTCGGCAGCAGCATAATTTCCCACCCCTACTCATTACCTATATTTTCTGCATCAGAGTTAAATGTCATCAACCTTCAAAAAGCACAGGGAAACGTTTCCAATTTCTATCAAACGTCATCTTTAATCTTTCTGTTCTCCCAATTACTTTGAAAGCAACTGCAAAAATACAATCGGCCAAAGAGCATACATACAATACAAAACGTCCAAGTTTAACCGCTAAATTCGTCTCGGGAACACGTTTCACACCACCATCAGAGTGTGTATGCATGAGTTATTCCAAAGGTCTGCTCAAAAAAACCATTAGGAGGCTTTACTGTAGAACGACACAGAGGCTAAGCAAAAAGCACAGAGGTGAAACCCACAGTGAAGCTTAAAATCAGGACAGAATTATGAGGACTGAACAACTCCACCTTCTATCTGTGTCTCCTGTCGTCTTTCCTCCTGGACTCTTTGTATCTGTCAGAATGGCGGTTCTCTTTGTCTGCCCTCTCTAAGCCGTTTCCGTACGAGTCCCTGGAGTCCATCTCTTTGCGGCTCCTCTCTCGTGACTTTGACCTGTCCCTGCTCCGCCGCAGAGGCTCCTTCTCCCTGCTCCGCCGTCTATCTTTGTCCTTGTTCGCTCGGGAGTTTTTGCCGTCGTCCTTGTGCCTGCCTGAATCTGTCGGTCTGTCCTGGTGGTCCTGAGCGTGTCTGTGAGGTTCTTTCTGTCCTCTTATGCGCTCTGGTTCTCCTCTCGGTCGAGCAGGAGGTGACTCGTCCTGTTGTCCGCGCCGCTGAGGATCTCTGTTGTGTTTATCAGATCCACGTCGGTCCTCTTTGCTGGCGTCCTGACGGCGGTTCTCGTGTCTCTTGGTGGGTCGTTCCTCTAAGGGAGATCGCTGGTTTGCTGCCTTGCTGGATTTCTTGCTCTTGTCCTTTTTCTTACCTGAGGCCTTCTTGCGCCTGGAGTCAGAGTCTGAGAAGGGAGAAAAGAATTGTGACAAGTCTGGAAAAGATGTTCGTTCTGGAACATAATACATATACGGTATGTGTATGTGTGTATGTGTGTGTGTGTGTGTGTGTGTGTATATAGATATATATATATATAGATATATATATATATATATATATATATATATATATATATATATATATATATATATATATATATATGTATATATATATTAGTGCTGTCAAAATTTGTGCGTTAACGCATGTGATTAATTAGAAAATTTTAATGCGTTAAAAATTTTTTACACAGTTGCAGTTTTTTTTTCTCACTTCCTGTTGTGATGAAAGTGTGTTCAACATGCAAAGAAATATGGATAAGACCAAGGAAGCGCTTTTTGAAGGCAAGTTTCAGTATAATGCCTGGTTTATACTTCTGCGTCAAGTGACCGGCGTACCCACGGCGCATGCAACGCTTGTAGCTGTGCATTTATACTTCTGCGCGCTGTCTCTGTTGGTCTGCATTAACACTTCCGAAACACTAGTTGGCAGTGAGGTGTAAATAATCCTCTGTGTCGAGTTTCTTCGCTGCTGTTTTGCTTTTCCTGAACACTTCCTGGATGTACAAGTGGCTAAAACTCGCTCATTTTGAGGCAGAAACCGGTGGACGTGCAACAACTTTAACTATGAGGTAAACACAAAACAAAACTTTCCATCCGGAGCTCCTTCATAGGACTCCACACTTGTAAACAATCGCTCTATCGAGGTCGCACCATTCGCGCGGCTCTCAGTCCCGCCCAGACTCATCAGCGCTACCAAGCTCTGTGATTGGTCGGCTTGGTATCACTGACGAGTCTGCGAATGGTGCGACCTCGATAGAGCGATTATTTACAAGTGTGGGGTCCTGTGAAAGAGTTCCAGATGGAAAGTTTTGTTTTGTGTTTACCTCATAGTTAAAGCGCCGTAGGTTACGCCGGTCATGACGCAGAAGTATAAACCAGGCTTAAAACAATTAATGTCGCATCACCAGGCTCTCCAGAGTTTCATGCAATTTCAGGTGTGTCATTTTTAACTTTTGACTTCTGTTTTAATGGAATTTGAATTTGATGAAATTTCCGCATTTCGTGACTCGGTGGTCCTTTAAGGTAATTAAACTGCTGCTTACACGGTAGACTTTTAATAAGAGTATTATTTAAATCGGAGTATTAGTGTCTTATGTAAATGTACTCAAAGTCTCTGGTGACGTTGCGAGCTGTCAAAGACAGCGCATTACTCTGAATTTCAGCATGAGCCCTCCAATGTTTCATTAAGTTTAACGTGCTTCCTCATTAAACGCAATGAAAGCGTATGCTTTGAGTTGTTGTGTCAGAATCCTTGTGAAATACAGCCATACTTTAGAACGCTTAGTTTAAGCAAATTTGATGAATGCGATCATGCATGTTGAATCTGAAGGAACTCGCTCCAGCGTGTTGTGTGTGTCTGTCTGTGTGTGTGTCTGTGTCAGGCCCATTGAGGGGTGTCAGGGGTTGAGTGAGCGACGTATCTGAGTAGGAGCGTGTGCACACGAGACGTACCTAAAGAGCGGTGGGGGTGAGTTGCGCGCGACATACCTGAAGATGTAAACATTGCTAAATTGTCACTGTGACAGGGTGTAGTGTCGCTGCAGGTGCAGTATATGGATTTCAAATGGCCACAATTTTCAGTTTGTAATCATAACTATGTTTTGTTCTGTTGATATTGCATTCAAATATTTGTAGCTTGAAACAGATGGAAATATGACAGGATTGTGCTGCATTTCTACAGTGATCTCACTGTAGCTGCCATTAAGGCCCATTGTTCTCTAGTTCTCCGCATAGGTCACTTGACTGAAAACTACCAACTGATGATATCATAATGCTTTATTTAACACCTAAAATCTTTACTATTAATGAGCAATATGTGTGATTTGGTGAACCTGTATCCTAAAATATGGCCTACTGTATTTTCAATTATCCAAATGAGATCAAACCACTACCTCATTTACAGCCAGAAAAAAAAAATCTGTTAAATGGGTTTGCAAAGAACACTTTTTAAGGAAACGCTGGAGTACTGGAAGTGTGTCTTTCTCGAAAAGCAGCAATAAACATCAATTAACGTTCATTAAACGGTAGCAGAAGAGACGAGAGAGGCCTGACATCACATCTCTTCTAAAAATGTAACTTCATTAACAGCCTTGAGAACACATTATTGCACTTGAATGGCTGTGGCTCACAGACTCCTGTCAGAATCTGCCTGTTCTCAAATCTAATTATAATCAGCTTATACACAGCGCTAAAGCCGCAAAAAGTGTCTATTTGCAGGCAGATTGGGACAGCAAGTGTTTATGACAGTGTTTGTCATCATGCCGCAATTGAAATGAAACTAATCATAGGCGATTCCTGACTGGGATGAAGATATTTCTACCACTATGCCACGTTTTACATGTTGTTTCTACCATTTCATGATTTTTCCAAGATTTCTGTGAATTTGTGTGACGGGATCTAGAAAGTGGACACTCTGTCCTGACATTTAGACTGTTTATTGACCCCTCATCAGGATAAGGAAGGGAGGAGAAAACACTTCGTAACAGGCAGAATAATTAAGGAAGAAAGACAAACACAAACGGAACTCAACTGAAGTCCAGACATCAACAGCATGAATAATTAGGCACTGTGTCAATGACTACACTTTCTTTCACAAATCATAGCTTTTAAATTGGACGACTGAAAAGTCTCTGCTCTTGTTCAATACATGAGTTTTGTCTACTTAGCAAACACACTGTACTGTTCATAATTCCAGGCTTTTAATCCAATCTAAACCATAAAAATGGGACATTTAGTCGTGGATATGACAACAATTCTGAAGGGAATTGTAAGTAGGGCTGCATGATATTTAAATATAAAATCAGCAGTGCAATTAAGCCCTAATCCAAAAGCTGCTATTTTATAAGTTTCCTGCCATACGTGACAGAAATATTTAGTTTACAGAAAAAGTAAAAGATGGTTTGACATTTGTAAATGAATTATAAAATGTGCATGCTAGTATTGTAATTGCATGGTGCATAAAAAATATATACTTTTAGATTTTAGAGTGTAATAATTTTATTGCAATGTGATTAAAACATTTTTAAATACTTTTATTTGAGACAAATCACTATGTACAATATATTTTGAAAATTAACATAAGCTCTAAGTAAATGAAAACATCCCGCTGAGGTTTAAATCTGAAAATGCACCTTGTTTAAAAATATATATTGTGAAATTATAAAGAATTTGAGAGTCGTTTAAATAATTCATCGTTCATCTGGATCTTTCGCCTGTTCGTATCGAGATCGACACAAAACAATGCCGAATATGAACTGCTGGAACACAACCTTCCTTTCAGACACTAGCGGGATCATGGGATTGATCATGACATGAAGATTACTATCACTGAGAGATGGCCAGACATGCAGCTGGGGGGAATAAAGGGTTACTGTTCATTTTCTCAACAACACCACAGTATAGCCAACCGTGTGCTGTGTTTGTTCCTGTCATTTTTCTGATGACTGATACAATAACCTACCCTGGGGCCCGGGATTGCTGGCCGTTTGTTATTAAGGTAAAAATCAGCAAAGACTACTCAAGTATGGGACTTTGTCAGTAACTGTTACATAATTTGTATGGATCAGTTTTTTCTTCTACCAGATCCTGTGTTTCTCCTTTCTACACAACGTGGTGTAATTAAAATTTTGACCTTAAAATGGTGTTTAAAAAAATTTAAATTCTAGCCGAAATAAAACAAATAAGACTTTCTGCAGAAGAAATAATATTATCAGACATACTGTGAAAATTTCCTTGCTCTGTTAAACATCATTTCGGAAATATTTAAAAAAAGAAAAAAAATTCTAAGGGGGGCGTATAATTGTGACTTCAACTGTATATTCTGTTCTCTGACTACTAAACCATGCTGGGCATATCTCTCCATCTCATGCAGAAAGCAGTGGACCAATCACAACAGAACAATTTTGGGGACAAGTGAATCGCTGAAGGAATCATTTGGGAGTCGTTGGGATAAGGTAAAAATAAATGCATATTATTAGACAATGAAAGTATTTTTTGACTCTGCATGCATATTTAGACTGTTGTTAGAGACCCCCAAAACCAAAATATGATCTTTTATAACGCATTATAGGGGCTCTTTAAAACATTTATTAATAAATGTAATAAATTATTTTTTATTAAATACTTTCACATTTTACAGTATAAGTTTATTATAATATGATTTTAATTTATTATATTTATATTTAATAAAAATATTCTTTCGATATTAATTTGAAAATTAACACATCCATACAGGGATTGTAATGGAATGCTGCACTAAAAATAGCAGCTACACACACATTTTTTTAATTAAATACTCTTGAGTTTTACAGTATAATAATTCTATTGCAATATGATTTATATTGTAGTGGTATTTTATATTTTAAAGACAAACACTATATATTCGATATAACCATGTTTCCAAAAACAGAATTAGTCTTTCAGCAATAACAACAATTAAACCTACAATCTGGAATCTGACTCTACAATCTGAAGCTAGTGTGGTCAGGATTGTATAGTGAGACCAAAATTGATTTGTATAATGAATAAATATGATACAGTAGAATGCGAGACTCAAAATTCACTTCATATTAGAGCTGTAATCGGGCCATAAAAGTTAGGCCAGATAGTGCCCGAGCCTGACAGAATTCGGCCCGAGCCCGACAACTAGATTTTGATTGACACCTTTTAAAAACCTGAACCCGTTAATAGCCTGATATTATTCAAATGTGCACATGAACACAGCTCTTTTGCCTTTTTTCCACGAATGAGTCGTTTATGTGTTTTAACAAAGAAAAAAGTCCTCTGTAACATCGTAACATCTCAGCACTCTAAACAGACCTAAGTGCACACTAAGCCTTTAAATTGGCCAACACACCAATAAAAATTAGTCTTTCCTAACATTTTAAATTAAAATAAATTATAAATGATGACGGGTATTTGGCAATAACGAAATTAAGATAAAGGCTCTGTGATTTGTTTCGCCACTTCTCTTTACAATCTGGCATTAAGGCGATGGTGAAGCTGAATAATAAAAAAATAATGCCAACACAGCCTATATACTCTGACTACATTATGATTTTTTTAAAGGTTTAATTAATATTTAGGTATAATTTAAAAATCTTTTACTCACCAAGATTAGGCTACATATTTTTGTGGAGGAATATTATTGAATGGCTTTAGCACAGTCCTGATGCATACTGTTCTGGCTAATTTAGCATGTTTTGGGTAGGATTGTTTGATCTTTCACCAGCCATGAACATCCTTTTTTATTTTCCATGACAGCGGTTTCAATGTAGCGAGTGACCGCGTCATCTTCCCTGTCAGCTTGCTGTACATTGTTGTTAGCACTCTACCGTAATACGCAGTGTATGAGCGACCGCCAAAATATGTTGGCGGCTAGAATGATCGTTCTTTCTGAACTGACGGCTGGGCCTGACCGCAGTTAAAATTCCCTCTTTTTGACTTCTCCGTCATTTGTTTCACCTTTGCAGGGATGGATTTTAATGTTGTAACAAATGATTTGATTACTTTCTCGCGCTAATCCAAATGCATCACATGACTGTTCATTTACTGCACAAGCCCAGCCCAGTCTAAAATGATAGAAATTAAGCCCGAACCCACCCAAACCCGTCGGGTCCTGTTGGGTTCAAGGAAGAGATCTTCAGCTCCACTTCACATCATCAGTTGAGTGTTTAAAATAACTAGTTTTTTGTGAGCAGATGTGGTTTCATATCACAGACTGAAGAAGAAATCACACTCTTTATACAGTGATAAAGACTACATAAATTAGCATTGAATTAACAAATATAGTTTCTACTTAAACCAAATAAATCTGTCATGATTCTGACTCCACATAAAGATTCACTTTCCTTAATGATTCCAAAAACACTAATTAAACCTAAAAAGATCAGACCTGAAGAGCTGCCACTGCTGGAAGAAGAGTCTGAGTCACTGGACGAATCAGAGTCGCTTTCACTGCTGTCACTTTCAGATGAGGAACCTGAAGATGAAGAGGAGTCTGAAGAGGATGAGGAGGATGAGGAAGAATCTGACGACTCAACTTCCTGATTCTGGGTCATGATCATCTTAGGAGCGTTTTTCAGATGTTCCCTCAGCTCATCCCTGAAGAAAATAAAAATAAAAACTCAGATGAGATTTTGTTCATAATAAACAAAGCAGACCCAAATAGAGAGTAATCACAGACACTTACGTTAGTCCTCCAAGGCCGATAGATGTGAAGAAATTAATGGCGAATCTTGTGTTCCTCGGGTTATCGCGTGGAAACAGGCCTTCAAAAAATGGCTGGAGAGTCCTGAGGATTAAACAAATGAAATGTCTTTGTTATAAACTTTATTACTGATTACTGTTGTTCAATCAAAGCGTACTAAATTAAGAAAATACTTACGTGTCCTTCAATCTCTCATTTAGTTTTGGCAAACCCATGTAAGCACAAAGTTCCTGGAACAAAATCTTCACAAAGATTCGACTGGAGGATGTTGTTGTGTCTTCGCTCATTCTAACGCATTCAAGGACCTGGAAGAAATTTTCCTTTTATTCCCCACTTTAGGAAATCAATACTGCAGTCCGTATTGATGTGTTGTATAATCTTAATTGCACCTTGCAGGTTGAATTCATTTATAGGTCACGTCTAAATGTGAAAGCAATGAGTGTAAAGAAGCCAGCAATAAAAGTAACTTACACTCCATGGAACTGAGTCTGTGTAGAGGAGATGAGCAAAGATTCGAGCAACGTTACGCAGTTTGTTGGTTTCCAGCCGGTGGATTGTTTCATACTGCTCCTGGAAAATTGCCTCAAAGCTCTCCATGTACTCTTTCTTCAGCAGGCAAAACCTCTGCATAAAAAATGAAAATATCAGACAGGGAAAAAAACAACTGTTGCAATTGTGCACAAATATTGCAGATGAGGAGTATATCTGTTTAAATATTCGTGACTGTAAAAGGAGCAAAATATAGTCTAATTGGAATTCTTTTTTTTTTTAATAATTAAATCAATAAATATTAAATAATTATTTTATAAATCTAATAACAACAACAATTGCACTAACCTTAGCAAGCTAACTAACATGTTAATTTTAAAGGGGACTCTATTATGACCTGCTTATGATTGTCTCACATAGTTCAGGGGATACAAACGTCAGTTATCTCTAATTTATGAAAGGTTATTTGCAGCTACTGCCCCCACTGAAAAGTTGATCAGAGAAGAATGGGAACGAGAGAGGGAATTCAAATTTCGGAAAAAATTTGGCAGAATAGCTTAGTGGATATAGATAAACAATCAATCAACACTAGATTATGCTTCATCCAGTTCAAGGTCATACATAGACTACACTACTCCAAACATAAATTACTTATGATTTTCCACAATATGTCTCCTACTTGTAATAAGTGCCAATCAGAAGAAGCCAATTTAGCTGATAGTTTTGTATTCTGTCATAAAATACAGGGATTCTGGAATGAGGTTTTTAAAGTGCTTTCAGATGTCCTTGATCTACACCTAGATTCTGACCCAGTGGATATTATATTAGGACATTCTGATAATACAAACTCATTGAGCAGTGCACAACAGAAATTTCTTACATATTGTTTGATAACAGACAAAAAGCTGCTATTATTGTCTTGGAAAATGTTAATCCTCCAACTGCTACACGTTGGCTTGAAGAATTAATATCTACTCTGCACTTGTAATGAACCAGATTTCTTTTAAAAGGTGACAATTTATTAAAATCTGGGACCCTACTATCACTTCATGGGGAATTCTTTCCCCCAAAGCAATTTGTTAAAAAACAAACAAACAAACAAAAAAAACAGTTGTTTTGATTATCACTGTATTGTATACTTACAGGCTGGGGTGTTTGTTTTTGTTATTTATTTTTTCTTATTTTTTTGTAAGTTTATGCATATTAGAAAAGGAATCCTGGAATTTGTGATTGTTGTACGTCTATCCAATGACAAATAAAAATTATTTGACAAAAAAAGGGGACTTATTATAACCCTTTTTACAAGATGTAAAATAAGTCTCTGACATCCCTAGAGTGTGTATGTTAAGTTTCAGCTCAAAATACATCACAAATAATGTTTTGTAACTCTTTGAAACTGCCCCTATTTTGTTTTAATACTATTGTGCCATGGTGACTGTCGCTTTAAATTCAAATAAGACTGCTCTTTTCAAAAAAGGCAGAGCTACAAATGCCTATGTGTCAGCATAGTGGCAAATTAAAAAAACAAGACTACTGTCCTATGCTAACGAGGAAGGGATCATCACTATTGAGCGGGTCTTTCCCCCTCTGATGACACATACAATATGACTACAAAGTGTGATTATAAACAATACAATAAATACATTTTTATCTATAGGAGTTGTTTATATTCACAGACTATAGCCACAAAAGCCTATTTTAAAGTGATTTTTGCATAACATATCCCATTTAAATTTAAATACAAACTAATTATCAAAATAATAATAGTTTAGACAAAACAGTTACTATTTTAACAAAAAAGCACAATAAAATCTGTAAAAATGTTAATCTAGTCAATAAATAACTACAATAAAAGCATCTTGTTTTGGTCATTTTATGAAATTTAATACACAGCATAACATTTACAGAAAGATAAGGCTCACCCCAGCTAGAAGACCAAAGAACTTCTCATATGTTCTTTGCTGAGCACAACAGTCCAGGATCATGTTGCACAGCTCTTTCTGTGGAAATAAACAGACACATATGAGAAAAAAACCTTTAAAGTGCAAGTGTAAAACTGCTCATTCATTCCCGGCACCTTTCCACTAATACCTATTGATTTCATAACCTTGTATCTTCACCAAGGAGTCGAGGGTTCAGAGAGAAAGAGAGAGAGCACAACAGACAGGCGCATGATCAATTGAGCAAATTCAATCTGAACGCATTAGACGTGAGGATCTAAAAACAGTTGTGGTGAAATCTCAAGGCTCTTTACTTAAGCGCTCTGGATATTAAAAAAGGTGGACCTGAATCTAGAACGAACTGAGCATATAGATAAATCTCTGTGTAGTTTAGTGAAAAAGAAAAACCTATATAATAAAAGGATCATTCAAAGCTATCTCAGGGCTTTAAAAGAATTAGAATTAGGGAAGAGTATTATTCAAATATTTGATGCGATATTGATACTTTTACTTTGAAACCAATTTCTGAATAATACAATTTTTGGGTGCCAATTTTATAAAACTAAAAAATTAAATTTTGAAACAATTGTGAATTTTTATTAGTTTGAGTTGAGTCATGCTCTCTCTCCCTCTCTCACTGTACAAAAAGGCAAAAAAAAAAAAAAAAAGACATGTATTTAACAAAATAACCAACAAAATTCATGAAAAGTGAATGCAACAAATGACATATGATCCAACAATTATAACATTATGTTCAGGCTAACAGCTGCCAACATGAAAGCAAGCACAGGACAAAAAAAACAGAGAAATAAAACTGAGCATCCACACATTTTGAGATGCCTTCTCACTTGTAGCCAGGGACATTTTACCATTTGTGTCAGCAATATTTGCATTCTCTTTGCTATCATATAAAGAATGACTGTGCTATTTTAGATAGAGTTAGGTATGGGCCAGTATAAGATTCTAATGGTATGATAATCATGGATAAGAATAGCACGGTTTCAAGGTATTGTTATTACTGTTGTAAAATATGTTCTTTTTAAATATCTGGGTAAAAAAAACTAGACCTTTTTCCTTTTTGAACACAATATATTTTAAAATTTACACATTTATAATATTTTGGAGCAGTAAACAGGTCAGGCAAAATACAAGTCACAAGTCAGAGGAGAACATGCAGACTAGTGATGGGTCGTTTTTGAACTCGTGAATGATTTGTTCATTCGCGCATGAACATTCTAGGTGGGGTAGAAGACTAGTTCCTTTTTCCAAGTCTTTTATCGAGTTTAAGTCATTTGTTTATCACATGAAAGAAAGAAGCCAATCATATGTAGTAAGAGCTGGAAAAAGATTTTATTCGTTCATCTCTCGAGTCCTCTGGATTAAGTCTTTCGTTCATCACGTGAAAGACATAAGCTAATCATGAGCAGTCAGAGCCAGAAAATGGATTCTATCAATTCATTTTAAGTCCTCAGTTGAGTCATCAGTTAACATGCCATCACATGATGAGCGAAAAACTTAAAAGGTAAACTAATCATGGACCCTTTTGTCTCAGACTGTCACATGAACAAACTAATCAAACTTTAAAGTCTGAAGAGGTGAGCTGAGCTAATCATAGACAAAAGATCAGGGTAAAGAATTAATGATTGTTTTTTTAGCATTCTAGTTATGACTTGTTTGTTGTGTGATCAACATTTGGGCTAGATGTGTAGATGTGTTTAGAAGCTTATAGCAAATTCAAATAAATGAAAGGTCAAATGTAGAAAGGCAATGGTAATGCAGTTGTTTTGAACGAGTTGAAAAAGTGCAGATCTTAAAAAAAAAAATATATATATATATATATATATATATTATGAACAGTTAACCGTTAACACAAAATAATATTGGCTATGAGCGCCTTCTGCCTTCAAAACATGCTTTCCAAGACACACTTATGAATGTTTTTATTAAGGCAGCTTTTCCAACTATATCTAGGGCAGAAATGCCAAAAAAGTCTGCTCTGACTAGAGTCAGAAAGAAAACTTATGTTGGAGAGATTCAGTCAAGGTGATGTCAGGTAATTCTCTTCAGGCCAAAGGGCTAAAATCCCTTAGCAAACGCTTCCTCATGCCTGGCCTTGCTGTGATCCCACCTACAGATGCCCATTACAGCCCTCACAGAAAACAGGAGGGATTACACGCTCTGAACAGCCATGTGGCTTTTCCCACTTCACACCTGCGGCTCATCTGAGCTCCAGAGATTTGCACAACCTTCACTGTAGCAGTAACATCTCATCCTGACAACCACTAGAACACTCCATAAGCCCATTGATTTCATGATCTACCTCATATTATTCACCAAGGAGCTCAGGATTATGAATATCACTGTTTAAATTAAACCCTGTGAGCCTGCAATCGGCATCAAATTAAAATTGAAGCTGAAATCTTGAGGAGGCCTATATCACCTGCAAAGAAAGTAGAGCTGGATATCAAAAACAGTGCCCAGGATGATCAAGTATTGAGCACTTGAGGTGCGGCTGAGTGTTAAAGCCCTGATGAGATCATTTCTGACTCTTTAACAGGTGCCTGCAGGCAGGGAGCCACATGTTCCAAGTGTGACAGTAAGGTGTTCTGATCACTGGACCGTTTCAGATGGGGCAGGAGCAGAAAGGAGGGTCAGACCTTCAGCACCAGTCTCTCTTTCCCTCTCACTTTATATATAAATCCCCTACAAGCTGTGCTCAAAGACTTATCAAAAATCTTTTAAACAAAGTAGTTAAGTTCTCTTACTACTGTATTTTCTGCACTATAAAGTGCACCTAAGACTCTTAAATTTTCTCAAAAATTGGCTGTGCGCCAAATAATCCAGTGCGGCTTATTTGTGCACTGAGTTCCAAAATTTGTACAAATGTTGTTGTGTAACGTTAGTAAGTGCTCCGCTTGGTTGATTGTCAGACTACTTTCTGCCAACACATGGATGTAATACATACATTGGTAGCAATAAACAAATCAAAACAACAACTGCTACTGTAAATACCAAGTCAAGCAAATGAATTTGGAGCTTGCCATCATTTCGGGAGGATTAGCAAAAGAACTCCAACAACTAGACATTGGCATGGGAGCAATGGATAAAGATGAGAGACAGCGCCATGTGAGATATGCCATCATATGTGAATGAATTGTGGATGCCTGATCTATGGTATCTGCTTTAACTGTTGTTCGAGCTTTCACGAAAGCCAGCATCATTGCTGAACAGCCTCCTGGCAATGAGGCTGACTTGGACATTAAGAGGGAATCCGGCATTTTTGATGGTAAAATTTTTCAGCTGTTCAATTCAGACACATAAGATGGGAACTTTGATGGATTTGTGGGAAAAGATTGATTAAAAAATAATGTGAGTGTATTGTTAAATAGTAGAATAAAGTTCAACTTAATTAACTAAACTCGCTTCCATTACCATTTATTATAGACTGTATGTTTTAGCATATGCCTTATAATACTGTGTGCCTTATGTATGGGTTAAGTAGAGAAATAGACCCTATAATTGAGACTGTGTCTAGTAATTCGGTGTGCCTTATGGTGCGGAAAATACAGAACTTATTTAAAATGATTTGAGAAAACACAATTGGTAGGGGTTTTTTTGCGACAACTTAAGGCTGATTTATACTTCTGCGTCAAACGTCGGCGTATGCTACGGCGCTGACGCATAGTCCTTCGCCGTGGCCATCGCCGTCACTGACGTGCACCTCTCAAAAAATATAACTACACGTTGCAACGACGCGTAGCGTAAGCTCTGTGATTGGTCGGCTTGGTAGCGCTGACGAGTCTGGGCGGGACCGAGAGCCGCGCGAATGGCGCGAGCGATTGTTTACAAGTGTGGAGTCCCGTGAAGGAGCTACGGATGGAAAGTTTTGTTTTGTGTTTACCTCATAGTTAAAGTTGTTGCACGTCCGCCGGTTCCTGCCTCAAAATGAGCGAGTTTGAGCCACTTGTACATCCCGGAAGTGTTCAGGAAAAGCAAAAAAGCAGAGAAGAAACTCGACACAGAGGAACATTAACACCTCACTGCCCACTAGCGTTTCGGAAGTGTTAATGCAGACCAACAGAGACAGCGCGCAGAAGTATAAATGCACTGCCACGCGCGTTGCCTGCGCCATGGGTTACGCCGGTCACTTGACGCAGAAGTATAAATCAGGCTTTAAGGCTGGTTTACACTTCTGCATCGAGTGTGATCAGCGTGACCCACAGCGGCTGACTTACGCATAGTCGTGCATTTATACTTCTGCATGCTCTTTATGTTGCTCTGCAATAACACTTCTAAAATGCCAGCTGTACATTTCCATGTTTCTCTGTGTCCAGTTTCTTCGCTGGTATTTAGTTTTTTCCAGAATGCTACAAGTAGCTAAAAGTCACTCATTCAGAGGCAGGAACAACTTTAATCATAAGGTATACACAAAACCAAAGTCTCCATCTGGAGCTCCTTCATGAGACTTGACACTTGTAAACACTTGCTCTATCGGGCATGCAGCTCTCAGCACTGTCCACACTCTTCACCGGTACCAAGCCGACCAATCACAGAGCTTGCGCTACGCGTCATTGTGATGTGTAGTTACATTTTTTGAGAGGTGCACGTCAGCCTTGGTGTCAGCCACAGCGAGGGCAATACGCCCATGCGAAAGCTGCGCCGGAGCGTATGCGAGCACTTGATGCAGAAGTATAAATCAGTTAAATGTTCAATCCACTTAAATTTGTAAAAATGATTACGTTAACTTAATCACTTTATGTGTTGGGACAGTGTGGAACCCAGCATTTTTTTACACAGTAGTTTGATTAATGTAATGGTCAAAAATGTTGAGGGGAAAACGGTACTGACTGAAATAGATTGAACAGTAATGTAGATTTTAAAATAAAACAATGAGTAAACAATGACATTTTTATTATTAAATCACTAAGCCTTGGCATCTCTAAAACTTTAAACTCAACTGTCAGAAAAGTTTACACTTCCAGTAGAAATTTGACTACAGTTCTCTGACTCTCTGAGCTAACACCTGTTCCGAGGAAATCCCTAAAAATCAAACTGCCCTA